TCAAATATTGTTGTAGGATTTGATTTTTCTTCATTTCTTCTTTGTCCCATCGCACAGAGTTCTTCAAGGCTTTAATAAGCCTCTTCTGTAATTCCGGGAGGAAAAAATTATCCAGGGTACACTATTCATTTGTCATTTCTATATTTCTTTTAAATTTTAAAACCTCAGCCAGTTTCTTTTCTAGATCCAGTGATTTGTGGATCTTTGCTTTTGCAGAGCTGTCTTTAGTTCACCATACCTCCCCCAGAAATCTTCAGGAATGTTTAACTTTCTACTTATGTAAATACTAATCAGATACAAACGATCTGATACATTTACGTCTACATATGAAAGACGTATCCTTGAAATAATTATTTCCAGATATTTAAGACACCCAATAAAACAGATTTCCATAGATTTAATGGAGCCTATCAGAAGTATGAGACTTGCTTCTGTTAATGGAACAGCCTGACAACATACCATATTGTTGTACTATATCAGTAAGTCTTGGTATAGAGCATTCATAATTATTATATGACATAATATATTATCAACATATAATAGCTGTTTTTAATTTTAGCCACTTTGTTGTCCAAAATGTTCTTTGAATTACCTGACAAGACTGGCATATTGTTCCAGTTTTAAGTTAAATATTAGAGGAGGAATTAAAGGACACTCTTTAATGAGTTCCATGAGACATCTTCATATGTAAAGAAATAATTCCTTCTACAATAATTCTATCTGGAGGATTGGAGTATTATTTTAATTAATAAAAAAAGGAAATCCATATTTGGCCAAAACCTACTCCAAAAATTTACACTGCACCTTAAGAAAGGCCTTTTTTTTTTCATTCACTGAAACCACTATTTCCAATCATCCAAAACAGCATCAGCAAGCAAAGCAGATTCTTTCCTTTCAAATCTGATCTTAGGTGTGGATCACCTTGAGCAGACAGGGAGCTCCAGGGATGATGAGGAAGGAAAAAATCTGTTATGTGAGTGAAAGCCTATTAAAATGAAATTCAGTGTAACTCTGGAAATAGGTTATGTTCCTGCAACCTTACAAAAGCTATGAAGAGACTTCTTCTGTTACAGAACTTGCAAGTAAGGTAGGCTTGTGCAATATCAGAAAAACACAGCCTCTTCCTGAGTTGTGCTTGATTCCTGATGACTGCACAGTCACATCGACAAAGCTTTCTTAAATATGTAGAAATGGTCGTCCCTGTTTTCTTTCACAATTTTTTTTGCAACTTCTGAGTCCTTAGCCCTGGGATTTCCTGGTAGTTTCCCATCCAAGGACTAGCCAGGTCTGACCCTGCTTAGTTTTTTTGAGAACAGCATAGGTGGGCTAGCTTTTGCTATTTGCTGAGGCCTGAGATAAATAAGGAGTATGTGAAGTGGTGAGATACCTTTTCAGCATCTTTTTAAAAACATTATAAAAGGTAAAACTTCAGGGTAATATTCTGGAAACGTTCTGAGATATGTCTTGAAACAGCCATAAGATTCATAACTGGAAGCTGGCAGCAGTTATTAATATGGCACTAATTTTCATCTTGATCCTGACTTGCATGTATGCATATGAGTGTATACACAGGCCTGATTTGATAACGTAGAAAAGATTAATTGGTGCTACCGCAATAGTGAGACAGCTAAGAAGTGTTTTCAGAAACACACTTCAGAGTGCTTTAGTTGGCAATATTGGTTTAATGGGTCTTTATCCAAAGAACAGTTTTCAGTCAGTATGTACAGTATATAATTGTGTGTGTGTATTTTCATGTTTAGACTACTATAACACAAATGTATAACATAATCAGCCTTTTTCAAATCAGGCTAGGCAATTCAGACCCAAGCGTGCCCCGAGTGAAGAGCAGGTGTTCAGCTGAAGGTTAGGAACTGAATTATCCCCCTCACAGTGTTAGAATATCTAAACATTGTTATAGCAGCTGTTGCTAGGGTGAACATTTCCTTCCTCTTGGCGTTTTAAAGGCTGAGGCTCTGGTTTATAAGTGTAGGAATAGTTTTCATTCTGGGGTTTCATTTCTATTAGGAGGAAGAGGAAAATATTTTATCTGGTTGTTACATCACTATGGATTACATTTCGTATCTGATTCATTTGAAGCTTTTAGGCCAAGTGGCTTACTTTCAAATAAAGATTACAAACTGGAAAAAAGTATCTTGAAAGACAGTATTGAAAATATTTTAAATCTTTCTACTTTTTTACTATTTACTCTTTTTTGACAAGCTGCACTTGGAACTTAATAAAGTTTGAAGAGCTAAATTTTCAGAGTTAACATGCATTATAGTAACCATGCTTAATAGGAGTGATATTGGTGTTAATAAAGTCCTATTTCTCAGTGATAAAATGATCAATACTCTTGAAAGTTATCTGTTGTCCAGAGTATTAATAACTGAACTTTATTAAACCATTCAGTTTGGAGGAATGGAGACAAAACCCAGAAAAGTATGCCTGTATGTCTGTGATATAGTTAGGCCCATCCAATCTACAAATAATCTCCCCCATCCACTCTTCTTTTCAGTAATAGAAAGTTTTCTGTATTAAAAGAGCTGGCAAAATAATTTTAGTTATTAGAAGAGTTTATTTGTGGTCATTTAAATAGAAGCAGGGCGAATGATTGTCAAGAATTAACCAGATCTAGCAAAACATATCTTGAATTAGATTGGGAGACTACAATCCCATCTGTTTTGAAGAGAGTTTTACAATAATTCCTATAGGAATTGGGCAGGAACCTTCCCACTGATGCAAACTGAAAAGATTTTGTAGTCTCAGGCAATGGGAATGAGTTGGCCCAGTGGAAATTTTGATCCCTCCCTCCTCTGTGATGAATAGCTATCAAATCACAATCTCCTTTGAAGCACTCTTCAGTTTCAAAAGAAGTTTATCTACCTGATCTGGAAGGCTTTTTTCCCCCTTGTTTCTGTTTTGAAAGCAACAAGCCTTATGCTTCATTATGCTCATGGAATTAATGGCATGGTTCTTTGGACATGGCCGCTTCCTTTCAAAGGAATGGAATTCATTTAGTATATTAAATGAATGTTAGTTACCTCAAAGAGAGCCAGTTTGGTGTAGTGGTTAAGGCATCAGGCAAGAAAGTGGGAGACCGTGAGTTCTAGTCCTGCCTTAGGCACAAAGCCAGCTGGGTGGCCTTGAGCCAGTCACTCTCTCTCAGCCCTGGGAAGGAGGCAAGAGCAAACCACTTCTGAAAAATCTTGCCAAGAAACTAAAGGGACCAAAACTGACTTGAAGGCACACAAAAAAAAATTACCTCAAAAGATTGTTGACAGGATGCAAACTATCTTGGTTTATCTGTTATTTTAACATAGTTATACCCATTTAAAATGTACCCTTGAATTCCTTCTTTTAAAATTAGGGCATTTCTTATATTCTGCTTTTCCAGGGAAGTCACCAGGGGATGCTGCTGATGCTGCCCTAAATTGTATGAAAACCAGAGTTGGAGGCCTGGGTGGCATCATTGTGATTGGCAGTTCAGGGGACTGGGCTGTTAAGTTCTCCACCAACCAGATGTCTTGGGCTGTTGTGAAGGATGACCAGCTACAGTCTGGCATTTATACTGGGGAGAGGAATACACAGTCTACCGAAGATGCCCTTAGCTCCATTGGACCTTAGAAACAAGGAAGGAAACTGGGGTTGGGCCATAGGAGGAAGATCATGGAACTGAATCCGTATCTCTCTGAGAACGAGGCAAGCACTTTTTCCGAGCTCACAGTCTTGTGAGCAGATAGTATTCTGTCAGAGTTTTCATTCTAGACTGTATATGTTTGGGTTCCCATCTGTATTTGATTAATAAAATAACCGTGACTCCATATGCATTTTAATTTTAATTCTACTGGATAAAAGGTTGTCCAGAAACTTTTATTGGATGCAATTACACCAGTTTCTTGATATCTGATGCATCTGCATGGTATCAAAAGATAATGTGCTGAAGAGATGCTCATCATTCAGAACATTAAAATGAATATACCTAGTAGGGGGGACTATATAACTTGAATACCTGTCTGTGATTATCTCATGTTTATATATAAATTAAGAAATTAAATTAAAATGTGAAACATAACGGGAAAAGCAAACTTATTCAATACAGATAAGAGATGAGCAACTGGTTGATCAATTATTGGGCTGTAATCTTATACCCACAGCTGGGAGTTTTACTGAACCCAAAGAGGGGGATGGGTGTCAAGTTGACATTGCCATATTAATTACTCTCTTTAACTAAACTTGAATAACTTCCTTTAAGGCTTTCTGTATGAAGTTACCATAGTATTTTATGCTAAATCCTTTTTGAAATAATACTAAAAAAATGAATTGAAATGTATTTTCTCAGGATAGTACTTTCAAGAAAGTTGTCTCATTTTTAGGAAACACATTTGTATGTCCTTTTCCTTTCATTCTTTTATAATTCAATATGTTAAGGCATACTTAGATATTACTTTGGCTCTATAACAACTTTTCCTGTTGAGAAATAAGCAGTAATATGTTAATGTACAACATTGTCTTTCTGAAAACAATCTCAATAAAATTTATACAGTAAATTCATAGAGTATATGAATTTTTGGCTCAAGTTATATTGTTGGCAAGTCAAGTTTGTTTTAAGTTCTATATCTATTTATCATTAAGAAAATAATTGTATGATCCATTAATTCATAAGAAGAGAGCCACCTAATTTATAGACTAAACTAACAGTTCACAAAGTGTGGTCTGGGGGTCCCCAAGATCCTTTCAGGGGGTCCGTAAAATCAAATAAATATTTTAACATTTTTCTCAGTTTTAATTTCTAATACAGTATATATTGATAGATATAACCCACAGAAACCAAAGCTCTTTGGGGTCCTCAGTCATTTTTAAGAATGTAAGGGTGTCCTGAGACCAAAATGTTTGAGAACCACTGGATTAAACCATGTATCACTTAATAATTCCAATCTGTTCAGCTCTGGGAATATCAACATATGACCTGGAAAGCTGTTGCTAAATGGTAGTGACAATTTCTTGTCTCCATAAAGCAGTGCCTCTACTTGTGCCTTGCATGAACCCAAGCTGCCACAGTCTCACTAGGGTCAAGACATGTGAATTCCTAAGAAAGCTGATTCTTTACATTTGGTAAAGTGGCAAGTGAGCCAAAATGTTGGTGTACCTTTTTGACTTGACTTTCAATCCAAAAGTTAGTCTGCCTTATGCTGATAAGGAATATCCAACATGAACTTCCTACATTCCACAAAATGTCATGACTGGTTCTGCATGCCATTGGGATCATTCTGGAGCAGCTAATTTTCTGTCCTCATTTCCCTCCTATACATTCCAATCGTGCAGTTGCTTTTAAAGTTTACAACTATTTCAAAGATGTTGTGTGATTACGAATGTTAGGGTAGATGTTCATATTATTGGTCTAAATCTATTGTTCTGTGACTATGCTTTCTTAAGGAAAACAAAGCAGCAGTTTAAAAATCCAAGCAGTTTTATAACACTTAAATTGTTCATACATGTTGATTTCACGCTGGAATTATTGTATCATGTTCTCAGGAACACAACAATTTAAAGAAAATCATAATCAACATTTATGATGATGCACTGGGATCGGGGGCAGGATTTCATTGCTCTGATGCTAGTTAGACAATTGAAATCAGGAATATAAATAAGAAGTAAGAGAGCTCAGAGACTATTTTGCACACAAGTTTTGTTGAATAAGCCATATGTTTGCTTTTTCATGTTTTCCTAGACAAACTGAAAACATTGCTCTTCCAAAATTATGAGGCATGCCTATCTCCCCCACTTTCTATTATACTTAGTCTTAACAGTTATTTTCCAAGAACAATGATTTATTATTTGATCAACAGGCTTTGGAATGCTGTAGTCCTAACTACATAATATTAATGGCATAACTATTCATGCCTACTTTTTAATCCTAGAATTTATATCGTACTAAGTTCTGACCCTGGATCTTTCCAGAGGGTTATATAAGCTAATAAATCATTCAGAGTTTTCCACAAGCAGTAACTTAGATTCTTACACTGTTCTTACAATACCACTAAATATGCACACACAAAGAATGAAGGTTGGACAAGCTTAGGAGTTACTAGGTGTTTTGTACTCCCAAATCTTTTGGCAATGGATTAGGAGCTGATAGGAATTTTGTAATATTTGTCACAAAGATCAAGTTGGAGTTTCAGGATTAACTTTTCAGCTGAATTTCAGGGCATCTGTGTTTCAGATTTGACTTGATTTGATTTCATTCACAAATCCTTCTGTATTTCAAAAGTACCATATTTTCTTGCATTTGCTGAATGCTGTTGCAGTTCTAAAGCCCTGAACTTCTGATCCTTTATTGCTAGGGCTTTACCAGAGCTTCAACCATGTAATGCATTGCAGCATGAGGCTCATCAAGTACTTGGCTGCATCAGGCATCATGGGCACAAAGCCATGATGCATGTATAGCAACATAGGAAGCATTTCCTTGGCAACACTGAGCCTTACAAAGTATGCCATCTGACATGCGGATCTCAGTTTATCTTCTTTTACTGAAAAGTAAAGTGGTGATTATAAGCTAATATTTTCCATACATAATTGCAATTGTTATTTTAGCTTTTGTAGCCCTGTATTTATAATGCCACTTAGTTATGGCTTGAAGCTATTGCGAGTTTTGTTACTGTTTTCATATCTTTAAAGTCTAGGAAAGCCTAATGATATGGGGTTAGTTTGAGAGGGTCATATTTATACTGAAACAATTTAACTTTGGTTTCTAAGCTCAAACTAGAAAAGATGGCTGTCATAGGGCCCAATGTTCAAATGTGAGATTAATTTTTATTTTTCATTTTTTTGAGAGTGAATCCTTGGACCTTTGGTTGACATTTAAATGTGTGAAATAGCATTTATGCTTATAAATGCCAAAATTAACATTATTAAAAGTAGGATTTGTAAAAAAGGCTAATCTAAACTTCGAATTAGGAAACTAGGCTTAAATTGAGGGACTATCTCTTCCTGATTACATCAGCCCGTCCCATCAAGTCCAGCAGAAGGAAGTATTTTGAGGATCCTATCTAAGGAGCTACACCTGGCAGGACCCAGGAGACAGGCCTTTTCTGCTGTGGTGCCCATGCTGTGGAATATCAGGTTAGATTGGCTCTATCTCTGCTGCGCTTCTGGCAGTCCCTCAAAACCTGGTTGTGTCAACAGGCCTGGGGGTCTCAAGGGGATGGTGATATGAGGAGGTGGCTCCATTGTTTGTAATATCTGATGCTTTCTCCTAGCCTTTTATAATAACAATATTAATTTTTGTAATTGTTGAATGTTATTATTTTTTTATGATTTTATTGTGCACCACCCAGAGTCATGTATTGTGAGATAGGCAGGTGGGACGGGCTGATGTAATCAGGAAGAGATAGAGATAGTTGAAGCACACACTATGGTTGTAAATGTGGGCAAGGCTGACTTGCAGATAAGTTCAGACCCTCAAAGATTTTGCATATGCCTTAGCTGTATTACATTAACATTTTTATAGGAAAAAAAATCACTGCATCCCATTTTTTTCTCAAACTGACATTGCTCATAATAATTTTTAAAAGCATACATAGTGCAAGGAAGAAAAGAGGAATGCAGACAACAACTCCATTCAGCCACAGAAAAAAAACCACATTCAGGTATAATAATTTGGCTCAAACATGATACTCAAGTTTTCACAACTTTTCCAAATATTAAAGATAACCTTCACTACCCGTTGTACAAAATCCATATCAGAAAAAGCTGTGTTCAAATTTCTCTGTATCTCCTGTTTCTCATGAAGCAATCCGTTCCCCAACTAAAAGGTCAGAAATTAATCCTTTTCTATTTTTTACTGATTCGTCTACTACCTCCATTTTGCTTTTTTTTTTTTTTTTAAAAGCCAAATTCATTTCTAGTTCTGCCTAAGCTAGGCACTAACAGCCAGCTGCGAAAAGATATGTGCATTAGAATAACAGTGAACACGCACAAGTGGGACAGTAGCATACATACACGTAAAAACGTGAACACCACACAGTAAAGAGAACATAAATCAGTCAAAAAGACCTCTCTTCTGAGTTGTGGGGGTGAGGCTTGCGGTGCCCCTTAACCCCAAACAACAATTTTTACTCCACATTTTGCAAGTCTTAATTATCTCAACCGTACAAATCTACTTCTATCACGCAATAAGATCAAAGGCCGCCATAACACGAATGTATGAGGATACAGGCTCAATAGCGCGCTGACCAGATGCTCTTGCCGATCTTAACGTCCCAATCGGCGAATCCTTTACTGGAGTTTACCCACCTTTTCCCCGAAAACGTTTCCTAATGCTACCCCAGTAGTAGCGGCGGCTGCAGTCGCCTCTCTCTCTCTCTCTCCCTGACACTTTCCCAGCTGTTCGACCGCATCAGACCACCGTGCAGCTGCGAGAGTTCCGACTGAGTCGACGAAGGCGGGGTGAGAATGAAGGGAGTCGAGGAAAGATTCCATTCTCCTCCTTATTGGCTCGTGCCGACGGGACTCTCCGGACTGCCGCCAGTTCATTGGCTCGAGTTTCTTCCATTCCCTGGAGCTAATTGGAGGAGCTTGAGCGTGGAGAAAATGGAATCCCGGAGGAGGGATTGCAAAGCAGAAGCAGCCCTGGGGTGGAGGATTCATTCCCCGCTGGGCACCTGCAAGTGGGGCGTTCAGCTGCGGGCACGCGCACGCTCTTTGGCGCTGGCAGGGCAGGAAGGCGGGGAGGGGAGCGACGGGGCTGCTTTACTTTTCCTTCTTTCTGCCGCGCCGGGGTCTCTCTGAAGGGGAATTTGCAGCTGAATCGGAAGGAACCGCAGCTGTCAAGGGAAAGCAAGGGTGGGGGAAGCAGGAGAAACAAAGAACATGGCGAGACATTGTAAGCAAAGAGAAGAGGTGGAGTCTGAAGGGTCGCTCCCCTCCCGCCCCCTTGGGGAGCCAGGAAGGAAGGACACAGGACAGTTGGGCGGACAATGCCAAGCCGGCCGTACTCCCGAAGGAGGGAAAGTAGCGAGCCGGAGGAGGGCGGGAGAGTTTCCTTCGGGCACTTAGTTTTGCTCTTGGGGCCGAACTACACGTGACGCCAAGCGCGTCACTTTTAAGTTGCGCGGCTGCTTTTCCAGTCGCCGGAGGGGCGTCCTGGGGTAGCCTCGCTCTCCTTCCCACTCGGCTCTGGGGTCTCCGCTTCGACGTAGCCGGGCGGCGGCGGCGGCGCTCTTTGGGGAAGGCAGAGGGTGGAAATTGCGCGCGGGCGGAGGAAGGAAAGAACTTGGCGGACCGCCAGGCAAGGTGGGCTGTTGCGCTGCTAAAGTGCGGGAAGGGCGCGGGAGAAGGGTGCTCGGCGCCGAGAACTTCGCCACAGGTGGAAGGCTGCCGCCGCCGCCCGCCCTCCACGTTTGCTGCTTTGTCGGCAGTGCTTCAGAGGCAGGAGCGTCGTCGCTCCTGGGACTTGGGCTCCTCTCCTTGCCGGTGCCCTACATTCCGCGGAAAGAACTGGCCGGGGGAAGGGCGGTCTGCCTCGCTTTGCAACACACACGGTTTTTGTTAATCCACGTCCCGCCACCAGAATAGCAACGTTGCGGAGCCGCTCGCAGATTTTATACAGATCGTGTGGGACCGCGAGGTGTGGCGGGAATTAGCCCTCGGCTTCTTTCCCCTTTAAAAGCATAACAACATGGGTTTGGCTGGGAAGAGACCCCTCTTTTCTCCCTTCCTTGGATCGCTTTGCCCGACGTTGATAAGAGCACGTCGATCGTATGGAAGGGTTGCTGGGTGGGAGAGAGAGATCTAGGAATAACAACAATAGCAACAACAAAGACAATAATAATAATGAAAAGGGACGCCTGATTCCAGAGTAACAAATCAAGCGGCAAAAGTCGACCTGGCTGGTTTGATTTTGTTTGGTTTTGTTTCAGGGGGAAATTACAGTCCCTTACAAGCTCTGGCGTTGGTGGCATAATGGAGCCAGTTCTGCAGGTGCAGCAACAGGTATCTTTCAAGGCTGAGTGGACTGAGCCACAGATCAAGTTGCTCCAGTTGTGCAGGGAATGTAGCTGTGCGCTCCGATCTTGTGTGTGTTTATTGTAAGGAAGCCCCACTTTACTTCCAAGTATCTGTACTTAGGATTGGAGCTGAAGGGTAACTTTGGAACTCTTCTGTTGGGTAGCTGATCTATTTAATAATATAGTTGATGAGCTTACCTGCATAAAGAATTGACAAAAGTGGCGGAATTATTGTACATTTAATATTAAGCATAATCACATTTTAGTAGATTAAAAGTGCATTCCTCTGGTCTAAATGTGCTTGAAGTCTCTCGAGTTCATATGTTCTGCTAAGTTGTATTTGTTTTATGTTTTCCCTCCCTATGTCAGTATATTTTGAAGTAGTCACTGTCTTGAACTCAGTCATTGTGGTTGTTCAACAAGCCATTGCTTAGTATGATTCCAACCTTAATCTATTTCTGGTTTTAATTGTACTGTATTCTAAGATTTAAATTGTTGAGGGATCTAATGGAGATATCTTTCATGTACTTGTAAAATAAGATAATTTTCCCAATTTTAAAATATAACTTACGTGTCTTGGCTCTTTCCTCCCTAACGCCCAGAGATCAATGTTATCTATTAATCTTTTTTACACTCAATGTTAGGGGGACCATTAATATCAGTTTATGTATTAGCTGACCTTGTAAGTCATTTCTAATGGGTTTCAGAACAGAGGCCATACAGATTCATTATTCATAGTGAAGGTTTATCATCTGTCCTTGGGAAAAGTATAAAAACATTCTTCTGAATCATTTATTCATCTTGACAAGATACTGTTGTAAAAACTGCAGCCTGGTTAAAAGATTTGCCTTAACATTTTTTCTGATATGCTACTATAATTCAACTCCCAGTTCTTGTTCACTCGTATTGCAGATTTTTTGAAAGCCTTTGCAAGTGTGTGTGTGAAAGACAGAGATTTTGTGATTGATTACTCATAGCATGTTGTAAATGTTCTTGCTACCATTTGGGGATATTGCATATATTAGGATATAACAAGGATACTTCTGGAGTAAATTTAAAACTTTCTAAGTTTGTTTGGCTAAGACCAAAATGTCTTTGCGGGAACTGTGTTTATGTTTGTATTTTTCAAATGAATCAAGTTCCACAATGTTTTCTGTGCCCCCCCATCAGTTGTGCTCTGAGATTCTCAAGAAATGTATCATCACAACTTCCTCATCCTATAATATTAATTCTATTAAAAGCACAGGTAAAGAAATATTTCATCCCACTGGTTGCTAGTCTAAAACAAGATATCTTGCTTTACTTGATTAAACACAACTAATAACGCTAACAGCATTCTACCCAGTGATATAAATACTCATTCTTTTTCAGGAAATAGGTATCCATTATGTGTGTGCTATTATGTGTGTGCGATCTTGGTGTTCACAGAACTCCTAGTGAAATACTAGCATTAAGAAGTTTGGGGGTACTATTACACACTGACTGAATTTCAGGAGACTTTCTCTCTCCCTCAAAAGTGTTGACATTTAATTGACCTTTGAAGGCTCATTCTGTTAATCATACTCAGGGCACTAAAGCTATGGTCCACTGATCTGGTGTTCTTCCATTTAGCCGTGTTCAGCATATAAATTCTGCAGCCTAATTGCTACTTATTGAGCAAGAGTTTCTTTTCTTTTCTGAAAATTGGAGAGACTTGCTTTGCCTGAGGCAGGGCACTTGTAGAGTTCTAATTCAAAATGCTTTTCTGTCATTAGTTGGAGGGTGTGGCTTTAGTTAGGGAAGGGATGGAAATTCTTTTCTGATTAAACAGCTTTTTATGTTTCCTGAAGCAGTTCACAATGGTTAGGTGGATAACCTCGAATGTACTATCTTGTACAGTGAAGCACATATTCTTAAAACCATTTTCTGATTTGTAATTCTTCACATTTATTTTCCTGGCACACCTAGTTTTCTATTTTGAAACAAGTTAAGTTAACATATTAAACATAGAAAAACAGTTATGCTAAATGCTTAAATATATTTCAAAAGTTAATGTGTACAAACCTGCAATTATTACAAGAATGTCCATCTTCTACTTTCCTCAGTTCCAAAATACTGAAGTTAAAAATACCTGCTTTCATACCAGAGCTGCTTTTTATATACAACTGGCTTTCCAAAAATCATGTATGTAAACATAGATAGATAAACTGTTCTATTTGGAAGGGCAGCTACTGAAACAATTAACTTGGTACTGGTTCTGTTATAAAGGCAGAACTTTGTGTCTCAGTTTGGTACATCTGGAGCTTTCCTTTTTCTCAGTTTACTACATAATTATTTCCTGAATAACTAGATTTTGTATCCTTTTTTTGTTTGTAATAGAACTTGAATGCTGTTCAGTCAATGGTTAAATTATTGTGCTTAATTAAGATACTTGTACTTCTCATTCCTTGTTAATTTGCCTGTGTAGTTGGAAACAATTCTTGAGAAAACAATATTAGATTTCTACAGTTATTTATAGATTTTCTCCAAAAATTCTATTTTTGTTTGGCATGACTGGGACTTTATCCTGGCATTAAGGTAATTGTAATTTAATGTAAATATGCGCATAGAAAAGGAGATACTTATGGTACCGAAAGTAGAGAGATATAGTTACAATCTGACCTCACAATATAATGGCCATCATATTAATGCATAAGGAAGAGTGTAGGTTGTCATCAGTAAGAATAGGGGCATTTCATCCATAGGTCCCTCAAAATTTGTAATTTACTTATGCTTGGCTGTTATGATCAATAACATTGAATTTGTTCCCCACAAGTGAAGGATAGATTATAATGTCTACCTCAGTACTTCGACTTTAAGCATTAGAACTTTTGTTGTGTTTTGCTTGAAAGGCAACCTGATTGAGATTAAATCATGGTATAAGTAAATCCCCTAGAACATGGTGGGATTTTCCAATAGACTTGTACGGGTTAGCATTATGAGCCAATTAGATGGCTGAAACATAGAATCTGTTTCTGTGGTTGACTTGGGAACAAGATTCTCTAACTAATGAGCCAAGTTATTCTCAGAATTCCATGCATAAACTGTTTTTCAATCATTTAAATCAGTCCCTTCAAACTTATCTCTGTATGTTGTTAGCTATACCTATGAAAATTGATATATAATAAATGGTCAAGTTGCAAGCTCCTTGCAGCTCTTAATAGGCCTCTGTATGGCCTGTGACAGGTGTTCCCACTCTCTCTGCTGTCTGACAGCTCACCAGTCTTCTGTTAGTGAACTTTCAGAAAGTAATGCTGTTCTGTGTGGTCTTTGGCCATAATAAACTTTAAGATAAGTAGTGGTGTTGTGTTTGGGAACAGCAAGCCTGTAAGAGACAAAGTCTGTCAGACTGCTGTGTCATCTTTAAAAAATGTTTTATTTTTTAATTGCTTTTTATTGAACAAGCAAAATATCAAGGCAAAAGCTATCCCCCAACAGTTTAAAAAAAGGAAAATAAAGAGCAAAAGCATATGAAAACCAGAAGAACTGGGGTCTGTCTGTGTTTGATATAATGGAGAAATACACACTTTTAAAATGTTAATATTGCATGTTTCTTCCCAGAATGACCTTTGTATTTATAAAGATAATTTATTAAGAAAGTATTGTTAATGTAGGTAGGAAATTACTAGATTTAAATACATGTAATTATAGGGTTGCTCTGCTTTAAGTTTCATTTTAATCTTGCACAGAAGAGATTATATTTGTGTGGATGTGGATGTGTGTGTGTGTGGTGTGTGTGTGTGTGTGTGTGTATATATGTGTGTATGTGTATGTATGTATGTGTATATATATA